TCACCTTGACATTCTTGATGGAAAATCTATAGGTGATTCCCATTGTGTCCCCAATATTATATCCTCTCTATTATGTGTGAACTCAAGAATGATAATGTGGTTTGCAAGGTGAGTTGTTTACTTCTGGTTTATTTCTTGTATGCAAGAACACAAATACTTTGTGGGAATGATAAAGTAGTGACTTAAGCTGGGGTCTAGTGCTCATAAGCCAGAGAGAGCCATCTGCCTCCTATTGATGCATGCTTTATAACTAGCTGCTATACCTGGCTGATTTGAGTGTATGGGTTTATCACCCAAAAGCAAAACAGTGCTTGTTGAAAATAGGAAAATATAAAGAAGCTTGTGTCAGAGGCATTTTAGCATGGTCCAGTTGTGGGTCTCTTTTACTTCTCTAATTTTTATGTAGCTTAGAAAAGAGATGTGACAGCTTCATTTTGTAGCCAAGGGGAGGTCTAGGAGAAGCTAATAAACAGGATAGAAATTTAAGCTAGAACCATTGTGTTTGCTTTCCTTCCAGTGATAAATTTCCTTAATTAGTTCTCGATATCTATGACAATCAACTCTCCCCCCACCCCCAGTTAACATTTCCTGCTCCACCTCCTGGACAGAAATCAGAAAGGTGGTGGCTGCTCTAATTATTTTTTTGCGGTATAAACAGCATGATCCCCATCATCAACAGAAGTTTATTTAAAAAATCTTTTCTAGTTAATTACTCCAGCCCTCGTATACTTGTATGTCATCATTTATGGTATCTCTCTCAATATGTTTTGTTTCCAAGAATCCTGGGGACTAATTTGTCCAAGAGACTAATGGATTATTATTCCTATAATTCAGATTCATTCCTCATGGTTCTATAGTATCCCGATTTCCCAATGAGACAACCCAACACTCGGTCAATTAGGCCAGGAGATTTTATTGCTGCCCTTTACTATACCAAGACAGTGAAGAACAGCAATAAAGTCCAATAAAGCAGGGTATTTAAAGGCAAGATCCATGGGGGAGGGGGGTACCACTCTCAGGTAGCCAGTGATAATTTCCAAAGAAGCAAGTTACAGAAGCACAACTAGCAGTTAGTGATTACAAAATGGCGATTATAATTCCAGTCATTCCAATAACCAAGGCCCATAAGTTACAAGGCAAAGTCCTTATCCCAAATCTTCCCATCAAAGAAGCAAGTTAGTGAAATAGCAATTACAGTCTCTATATGCAAAGTAGTAATTACTCGAAGCAAAACCCACATTCCAAATTTCACAAAATCAAACCACTTTCCAGGGTTTTTGTGTGTGTGTGTGGGGGGGGGGGCTCTTTCACTGTTATTTACTGATTTCCAGTAACCTGGTGTTTAACTCACCAATTTACTTCAAGCCTTTATCTTTGGAACTTTTCCTTTTAATGACTATCCTGGAGTTGTTCTCTACAGAGAGATCCCGCCTTTCAAGTTTGGCCCTGTTCTTACTCACTTTGCAAATTTCAGTAAATGCCAGGCCTCAGTTTGTTCTATTCCTAGGGTCTGTACTTATGTTTCTCAGGTTACCTGGGACTTGTTTGTCCCAATTAAATTTCATTTTTCTTGGTCTAATTAATACTCTATTTAACTTGGTTCTAACAGTTCTGCAGTCACATACTGGTCTCACTTGATTAGTTTTGCTGCTTTTCTAGGTTTTATTACTGGAGATATAATAGAGCCAGGGTCATTGTACTGTTATTTCCTGAATATATATTGAAGTAAGGAGGTCAGGTCTGGTAGGGGCCATATTGGCCGCATGGTTGATGGTGATAGGGTGTGGCACCTTGTCTTCATTTTGGGGAAGGAAAACGCCCCCCCCCCAGGTGATGGGCGTGCCCAGAACCCTGGAGGTAGGGGTGGGCACTTGGCTGATAGGTTACTGAATCTATCAGTCCAGTACCTGGGACTGGGAATTTCCTGCGGATCTGCCCCCTGCTCCGACCCTATTTAGGCCCAGACTAGACCAGCCACCATTTCCCCAAGCCACGTGTGTGTCCGTGTTCATCTCTGGCCTCCTGTCTTCTGGCTCATCTCCGGACATCATGGCGTCCCAAGTCAGCTCTCCATCGGAGCTGAATTGGCTTTGTTGGTATTGTTTTTGTTCTTTCCTTCTCTCTAGCCTGTTTCCTAGCTGTAGTTATGTGTATTTGGGGGCCGCAAGCGTTTATAACAACTGGCTGCTTGCAGCCTGCTAACTGTATAATAGAGACTCCAATATTCCATATTCCAAAATATGGCTTCTGGGGGCTGGGAAGGTGGCTCAGTGGTAGAGCGCTTGCCTTGCATGCCTGAGGTTCGATTCCTCAGCACCACATAAGCAAAAAGAAAAAAGCCAGAAGTGGCGCTGTGGCTCAAGTGGTAGAGCACTTGCCTTGAGCTGAAGAGCTGAGGGACAGCGCCCAGGCCCAGAGTTCAAGCCCCACGACCGGACTCCCCCCCCAAAAAAAAATATGGCTTCTGGAATGATTCAGCTTACAACAATATTACTCATTCTTTCCAGTAGAGCAAATGCTTTACCCGAGTTGTTGGGACCTACGAGGGTTTCAGATTTAGCAAAGTAAATCAATTTAGTTTATTATTATAATATGATGTACAGAGGAATTACAATCACATGAGTCGGGTAGTGAGTGCATTTCCTTCCATACAATGTCTTCTGTTCTCTCACTCTATCTGAGCTCCACCATCTTGTCTCCCCCCACAAATTGTATAGTTCACTTTTTGGGGGGAGATTTTAGATGCTGAGAGCTAGAGTTCTCTAGCTCTGGGCAAGCACTCTACCACTGAACCACCTTCCCAGCCCTTGTATAGTTCACTTTTATCAATGTCCAGTGAGCTCCAGTGCTGCACGTTTTCACCCTTTTTCCCTTGAGTTCTGTACCCTCCCCCTAATCCTCCCAAGTCCATGACTCTTATGCCTTGGGTTCAGTCTGGAGACTAAGCTTTTGTGGACGTCTCAACTCAAGTCTAAGCTTGAGTTCTAGACGAAAGATAGGTCTTAGGGCTGGGAAGTGGCTTAGTGGTAGAGTGCTTGCTTAGCATGCACGAAGCCCTGGGTTTGATTCCTCAGCACCACATAAACAGAAAAAATCTGGAATTGGCCTTGTGGCTCAAGTGTTAGAGGACTAGCCTTGAGCAAAAGAAGGTCAGGGACAGTGCCAGGCCCTAAGTTAAAGTCCCAGAGCTGGCAAAAAAAAAGTCTTAAAATTAGTTCATGAATTCTTTTTCCTGTTGCAGATGGATGGATGTAAGCTCAGTGGCTGTAGTTGTGATTTCCAAATTCTTTGAAATGTAGTAAGTGGGTATTTGCAGCAAGTATTCGTCTTTTTTTTTTTTTTGGTCGGTTGTGGGGCTTGAACTCTGGGCCTGGGCGCTCTCCCTCAGCTCTTCAGCTCAAGGCTAGCGCTCTACCACTTGAGCCACAGCGCCACTTCCGGTTTTCTGGTGGTTTATTGGAGATAGGAGTCTCACGGTCTTTCCTGCCCAGGCTGGCTTTGAACCACGATCCTCAGATCTCAGCCTCCTGAGTAGCTAGGATTACAGGCGTGAGCCACCAGCGCCCGGCTAAGTATTCGTCTTTTAAAGTAATTGTTGTGTTGTCAAAAGTTTATCTTCTACAATGATACAGTGCTTAGATTTTATTCCAGAAGAAAAATTCTTTTCTAAATTATCCAAGATGTAAATTGATAGAGTTTACTTGAACTCAGGGCCTGGGCACTGTCCCTGAGCTTCTTTTGCTCAAGGCTGGCACTCTACGACTTGAGCCACAGTGCCACTTTCTGCTTTCTTTGTTTATGTGGTACTGAAGAATCGAACTCAGAGCTTCATGCATGCTAGTCAAGCACTGTACCACTAAGCCACATTCCCAGCCTCAAGTGTTTACTTTTCAACCATACCATTACTTGTATATTCCAAGTGTTACTCAATGTCATGAATTAATATTATCAGAAGCAAATACATCCCAAATTCTCATGTAAATTCAAATTTCCTACCTAAAATGTCATGTATACATTACCAAATGGGTGATTGCTATGAGTAAGATAGAGAAAATTTAAGTCTACGTAAAGAACTGCTGTAAGACATTCTCCATGATGATGGAATTTGTCAAAGGACCCCAAGTGTTTGAATTTCAAACACTTAACACTGATGTTAGATAGCTAGAAATGTTAGATAGCTAGAACAGAAGAAGACTATGTCTTGGCTCTTAACAACTCCCTTTCCTCTGGCCTCATCTTAAGGACCCCAAGGCAAGGAAACAGGAAATAGCTCATGGCTCCTTTATTTCCCATATAAGTAGCCAGTTTGAATTAAGTATGAGCTGGGAGAGTAAATGAGTCAACTTACAGTAAATATTCTTTTACAAAAAAGAATCATTGTTTTTATTTCACATGATTTTACTGTGACTGTAAAAAGAGCAAAGTCTTTTTAAATTTTTCTGCAAGTTGGAGAAGCTGTAGGGTTCATTGTATTTTTAACAAGGAACAACAAAAAGTTTGAAGGAGAGTAGAGGAAAAATTAAATGATTTTTCTGTTGTGCATTACGTGTTCTACTTGTATAGTCTAGTGATTTCAATAATAGTTGCTACAGTTTATCGAAGTTATACGCCAGACACTGTCTACCTCATGTGTTTTAAATATTTCATCTTTACAATGATGCTATGATTATTCATTTTCTTGGTGAGAAATTTAGATGCAGAGAGAAAGAAGTAAAGTAACTTGTCTGAGGTTTTATGGCAACTAAGTGACATAGCCATTCATAGGGCTACTTCAAGTGAATCAGAATTCAATTTAATTGCACAAATTGTATCTCAAACATTTCAAAATTCTGGCTATGTAAAAGGTAAATCATAGCCCAGTGTGTTTCAATGTATAAACAACATAGAGACATCTGAGGCTGTTAGTGATTTGCTATGTTTTCTTTCAAGAATATTGCAAGAAACCAGCATACAGTATGTGTTTCCTTAAATTCCCATTTCTCTTTCATCCCGTTTTGTAGGTGTGGGAAGGCACTACAAAATGAAGTCCAATTGAAGGGTCGTGACCTCCTCACTCTAAAGGACTTCACAGGAGAAGAAATTAAATATCTGCTATGGCTATCTGCCGATCTGAAATTTAGGATAAAACAGAAAGGAGAAGTATGTTACATTTTGTCTTTACCTTCTATTACTACCTGTCAGCCTTTTCCAGAGGCAGTATTTCCCAAGAAAAAGGAAATATATTAAAATTCCTACACAGTAGCTATGTAATGAAACCTCACAGTCAAGATAATTGATTATCGTTGAATGGACAGGCATATAAAAAAGCATAAAAATCAGTCATTCTGTGACAAGTCATTGCACTTCCTTCATGTGGAATGTTAAAATTCATTATTAACGAGATCAAAACCGAAGGAATCATTTGTCTGGAAAGATTTTCTTTTTATATACCCCTTCTTTGTATATTTTCTATCAAGCTAAAAAATAAGGATGATAAATTTTTTTCCCAGTAAATTTTAGTTCTGGGTGCATATCAGATATAGGATCATTAGAATAATACAACAATTCACAGTGATATGGTGCTTAAAAAAACATTCAGATTAGCAAAGGAACAATAAAATGGTTGCCAATGAGGGGAAGAAATGTGATATGGTGCTTAGCTGTAAGCATTATTCTGCATTTTGAGCAATTTATGCTTGAAACAGGCTTAATTAATGCAGCAGCTTCATTTAGACCACTTAATTGTGAAAGCAGTTTTATCTTCCAAGTGTGATCAAATACTTTTCAAAGAATGGATTCCAGTTTGAGAATATTTGACACAGCCTTGATTTCCTTATCTAGTTGGCTAGGTTCTCAAGTTCCAAAGAACAGATGGACAGACGCTGTAATCCTATTGAACAACTGAAATGAGAAAGACGTCTCCCTAGATTACATTCTATAAGGTTAGCTGGCAGGAGAACAGAACACCTTCCATCAAGAAGTCCACCAAGGGGCTGGGAAGGTGGTCAGTGGTAGAGTACTTGCTTTGTGAGGCCCTGGATTTGATTCCTCAGCACCTTGGAATTAGCGCTGTGGTTCAAGTGTGAGAGGGCTAGCCTTGAGGAACAGACACTCAGGGAATTCAGGGAGAATGCCCAGGCCTAGAATTCAGGCCCCATGACCAACCAAAAAAAAAAAAAGTCCACCAAGAGAAAGGAGGAAGAACCTTACCCACCCAGACTCGCATGGTTTTTATATCATTTCCAGAAATAAAGCTTTTGTACTTTTCCCCATGAGAATGTACGAAGGATGTGAAGCTGTAGTACTGAGGCTTTATCACTGACTTAAGTAGGAATCTTGTCCCATGTCAACAAACTAGCATGCTTCTAGCTGAGAAAACACCTCTGAGCCACACAACTTCAAACCATTGAAAATTGAATTAAGGACTTCATTGCAGTTCAATGAGATAATGGTTCTAGTGTGAACTATTCTGCTTTAGAATGGAATAAGCGCCCAGATTGACCCTGGAATAATTAATATTACTTACTAATTACGTGTCAATAAGCTGTGAGAATTACTGTTCCATTTCCGCATTTATATTGAACATGACAAAAAACTTTTTGGCAATTACTGGGGCTTGAACTCAGGAACTTGTGATTGCTAGGCAGTACTCTCCCATTTGAGCCATGCCCCTATCCCTTTTTGCTTCTAGTTGTTTTTCAAGTATGATCTTGTGTGTTTTTACTGGCCTGGACAAGATTTTCCTATTTATACCTTCTGCATAGCTGGTATGACAGATCCACATCATTGTGTGCACCATTTTTTGTTGAGCTGGAGGTCTCACTAATTTTTTGTCTGGACTGGCCTCAAACTGCAGTAGTCCTGATATCCTCCTTACAAGATACCGGGATTAAATTTACTTTCTTTGGCAGAACTGACATTTGAACTTAAGTCCTCATACTTGCTATGCAGATGCTGATCCTCCAGCCCTTTGTGTTCTGGTTATTTTTGAGATAGGGTCTCAGTTTCTTCCTGAATGAATTCCTGGACCATGATCCTTCTTTTCACTGTCAACTGAGATGACAGTGTCACACCATACTCAGCTTCTTCCATTGAAATAGCATCTTATAGACTTCCTGTGCTAGCCTTCAAGGGTGATCCTCTTGAGCCTCCCAAGTAGCTAGAATTATAGGCATGAGCCACCAATACCCAGATTTAAATTAACTTTAAAAATAATATTGTAAGCCCTTAATTTAGAAACAGTGAAGCCAGTCCCGGGGCTTTAACTCAGGGTCTGGGCACTATCTCTGAGTTTCTTTTGCTCAAAGCTAGCATTGTACCACTTGAGCTACATCACCACTTCTGGCTTTTTCTGTTAATTATAACTGAGGAATCAAACCCAGGACTTCATGCATCTAAGGCAAGCACTCTATCACTAAGCCATATTCCCAGCCCCAGAAGCAGTGATTTATTAGTGTACATTTTCTATAAAGAATGTTTTTTGAAACAGATGTTGCTATTGGATATATAGTATATTTTTCATTTTAACTTAGTTTTGTGCTTAATTTTCAGTATTTGCCTTTGTTGCAAGGAAAGTCCTTAGGCATGATTTTTGAGAAAAGAAGCACTCGAACAAGACTATCCACAGAAACAGGTGAGTAGTTTGAAGAAAGTAATAAGAAATAAAAGAGGGAGAATTGTGAGAAAAACTTTATTTTTGGGTCCGGTCGTGGGGCCTGAACTCTAGGTCTGGGCACTGTCCCTCAGCTCTTCAGCTCAAGGCTAGCGCTCTACCACTTGAGCCACAATGCTACTTCCAGCTTTTTTCTTTTTTGCTTTTGTGGTGCTGAGGAATCGAACCCAGGGCCTCAATGCATGCAAGGCAAGCGCTCTACCACTGAGCCCCCTTCCCAGCCCTGAGAGAAACTTTTCTATCAAAGTATGTTGCTCAGAGTTCAGGCCCCACAACTGACAAAAACAAAAACAACAAAAAAGAAAAAACAAAGCAAAGTATGTTGCGTAGCCGGGTGCCAGCTCATGCTTGTTTTCTTTTTCTTTTTTTTTTTTTTTTTTGGTCGGTCGTGGGACTTGAACTCTTGGCCTGGGTGCTGTCCCTGCACTCTTCAGCTCAAAGTGAGCTCTCTACTGTTTGAGCCACAGCGCTGCTTCCGGTTTTCTAGTGGTTTATTGGAGATAAGAGTCTCCCGGATGTTCCTGCCTGGGCTGGCTTTGAACCTTGATCCTCAGATCTCAGCCTCCTGAGTAGCTAGGATTACAGGCGTGAGCCACGGGCACCTGGCCCAGCTCTTGGCTTGTAATCCTAGATATTCAAGAGGCTGAGATCTCAGGATCACAGTTCAAATCCAGCCTGGGCAGGAAAGTCCTCATGAGACTCTTAGCTCCAATTAACCACTCAAACTGAAGTGGTTCAGTGATTCAAGTGGTAGAGCATTAACCTTGTGCACAAAAGCTCAGGGACAGCACCCAGGACCTCACTTTTAGCCTGGCTTGTCCTAAAAATATAGGTGAGTCCACTGTCAGACTCACACTCAATGTTGAAGAAGCAGGGTGAGGATTTAGGAGAGTACAGTGGTGGGGAGATTGTCTGTTGAACAACCACAGAGTAAATACTTTCACTGGAAGCAGTAGTGTAAGCTAGTTACAATTCTCATAAAAGCTATAAACAAGGGGTGGGGCAGTAAGTAGTGACTCAGATCTATAATCCTAGCTACTCAGTAGGCTGAGTTCTGAGGACTGCAGTTCAAAGCCAGCTGGTACAGGAAAGTTCATGAAAACTCTTGTCTCTAATTAGCCACCAAAAAGCCAATAGTGGCACAGTGGCTCAAGTGGTAGAGTGCAAAAGCTCAGGGACAGCATCCACGCCCAAGGAGTTCAAGCCCCACAACCAGTGCAAAATGAAAAAAAAAAAGCTATAAGCAAGATGATTAGCTTTATCTATGGAAATCCCATGAAGACTTGAATAAAAGCCCCACTTAGCTCTTCATGATAAAAGCAAACTAGAAGTGAACACAAAATCTCAGGCCTCTAACTCTTTTTTTTTTTTGGTCCGATCATGGGGCCTGAACTCTGGGCCTGGGTGCTGTCCCTCAGCTCTTCAGCTCAAGGATAGCGCTCTACCACTTGAGCCACAGCGCCACTTCTGACTTTTTTCTTTTTGCTTATGTGGTGCTGAGGAATCAAACCCAGGGCCTCATGCATGCAAGGCAAGCGCTCTACCACTGAGCCACCTTCCCAGCCCTAGGCCTCTAACTTTTGTGAGTAAGAAATTTGTCTTAGTGGTGCTGTGGCTCAAGTGGTAGAGAGCTCGCCTTGAGCCGAAGAGCTCAGGGACAGTGCACAGGCCAAGAGTTCAAGGCCCGTGACTGACAAAAAAAAAAAAAAAAAAAAAATATATATATATATATATATTTATTGCCGGCAGCTGATGATTCACGCCTGTAATCCTAGCTACTCCAGAGGCTGAGATCTGAGGATCTAGGTTCAAAACCAGCCGGGGGAGGAAAATCTGAGACTCTTAACTCCAATAAACTACCAGAAAACCGGAAGTGGTGCTGTGGCTCAAGTGGGAGCATGTGCGCCTTGAATTGAAGAGCTCAGCGACAAGTGGCCAGGCCCAGAGTTCAAGCCCCATGACCAACCAAAAAAAAAAAAGTGTGTCGTAATTTTTATAACCCATGAACTTTTTCTTGTGCTTCCTGATTCTGCTGGAGAGTGGAAACAATATTTGACACACCAGAGAGACAATTCTAAGTTGTTTTAGAGTTCACTTTGTCAAGGTTAGGTCTCCTTTTCCTCATAGTCATGGTTAAATCTTAGAGAATATCTAACTGTATAGCTATCTAAGTATCAGATATATATAGTCCTTGAATATTATTAGGATATCATCATCAAATGTCCACTTTGGATTCTGCTTGTATTTCTGTATTTCCATTGGATCTTAAATTTTTTTTTATTCTGATCACAAGACCTGAGACATCTCTTGGTTTAGTTCCCTCAACCTTTTCATAGCTCTCTATTCCACATTGGGTACAGAAATACTGCAAAGCCATTTTTACTGTGCCTTCAAGTGGAATGTCAAGGAACTCTAGAACATTTGTTCCTTTCTAGAACTCTGTCTTAAGGAGTAAGAGATTGATGCTCTCCATTCTAGGATTCCTCAGAAGAACACCATGAGGTTTTTCTCATCATGCTCCCTACCCTTTGGAAGTTAGTCTAGAACACACAACAGGGTTATTTATTTATTTATTATTTTTATTTTTGGTCAGTTGTGGGGCCTGAACTCTGAGCCTGGGCACTGTCCCTCAGCTCTTTCAAGGCCAGTACTCTACCACTGGAGCCACAGCGCCATTTCCAGGTTTTTTCTGCTTATGTGGTGCTGAGGAATCGAACCCAGGGCCTCATGGATGCAAGGGAAGCACTCTACCACTGAGCCACCTTTCCAGCCCAACACACAACAGGTTTAGTGTCAAACAAAGCTCCTTCAGTTTTATTTCTTTGGTTTCTTCCCACTCTCCTTGCTTCCCTTCTATCTAGATCATAGTATTAGAATGCAGGTGATAAAACAGGAGAAAAAATGGACTCATGTTCTTCCAAACCTATTGTTTTGTCTAGAATCCTAGACAGCTGAAACTCAAATTTTCTTACTTTTCTCAAGCTATTATCACTGAAATGAGTTTCAAAAAGTCTATTTTGACACTTATAAGCCACAAATTGCCTTTCTTCTTTCTCTCTATGTTTCTGCTCTATCAGATCCCCCTTGAATCAATAATATAACTTCCCCAAAGGACAAATCATACAAACCTGTGAAGGAAGTACCACAAACAAAAATATATTGGATTATTCAAATTGTCCTGCCTTCCAATCCTCAATTTTCTAGGTCTTAGAAGCAAACAAGTACTGTATTGCAAGCAATTATTGCCCTGTAATAATCAATAGTGAAATTGATCAAGTAGATAACAAAAATGAAGTTTAGGGATTTAAACAAATTACTGATTTCACTCAATTGACACAAATGGCGCTGAGATTCAGATCTCAAGTTCACTATTCATATTAATGCATTCCCTTTACTCCTTGAAAGAAGGAGGCAGGAATAGTGGAAATAGTGTTGCCTAATCATAAAAGCTTTAGGAAGAGGACAAATAAGTACATTTGCTCTTTGAAGATGGCTTATATAAGTGATCATTTTTGTCATCTGACCTACAGAAAAATAAAAAATAAAGCATTCAGAAAATCCTTAAATTTTGCTCCTTTGCAACACTGCATGTATATGAGCTGGGTTTTACACACACACACACACACACACACACACACACACACACACACACACACACACACACACATACACACACACACACACACACACACACCTGTGCCCACACACACACACACACCTGTGCCAAATGCTCTTCATTTTTATGCATTTTCTCCCTTAAAGCTCATGACCACTGAGAAAAAGAGATCTAAGCAGATTCAAGAAATGGCCCACAAACACAAAGCTAGTATATGGCAGTCTCAGGATTTTTTCCTATTATTTTTCCTATTATTAAGTGTATTCTTAATATCTAATTTAAAGCATGTAATGGTCACATTTTATTTGAGTGAAATTGCTTCTACTCATGGTATTAAGCATTTTGTCAAATGATGATTTTTCTCTAAATAAGTGTTCTGAAACCTGCACAAAATTGCAAACCATAACAAGTCAAGAAGAAAGGAATCTTTGGCTCTTAAATCTTAAGGTTCGCAGAGTATTTGGTATTATCCTGTATGAGTACCTGTGGATCTAATGGCATAAGGCATGCTAATAAAGTCAGTAGCTGGAGAATTAGAGCAAGAAGCTGCCTTAAATGCTTACATAAGGTCCACCCTCATCAGAATCATGGCAGAACATTTCTTTGTATATATGTGAATCTTAATAGTTCTTCTTTGGTATAATTTCACCAGAGGTATAATCTTCATTGTTTAGAATTAAAATAGTGTAATCAACTGTCTTTCTGTCCCAGAATAATAGCAACCCCTGAGATAAGAGTGATCTCTTTTAAGATTCTTTGCACAGACTGAGATTCAGAGATTCAGCACTATTTTTCATGATCACAGGATATAATGCAAAATGCAAATTCTCCACCCATATACATTGTTTATGTAACATCTTTATTTAGATTTTCCATGCTTACTAGCAATAGAACTTGAGGCCTCTCACCTGAGCTATATCCCATTCTTTTTTTTTGTTTCTAAGTTTGTTTTTGAGATAGAGTCCTATCTTTTACTTGAGCTGACCTTGCACTGATTCTTCTTTCTAACCTCCTGAGTAACTGTAAATACAGAAGACATCATGCCCAGCTATAACACATTTAGTCATGTGTAACACAGTTTCAGAAAACTGCACAAATCACTAAATGTATATTAGCTCAATGAATTCTCATATTAACCATTGCATTTTTAATTAACACCCAGGTAGTGAAAAGAATGTTAGCAGCACCTAGAAGCCCTCATCTCCAACCTTGTTTTCTTTTTTATCTTTTTTTTTTTTTCGGTCGGTCATGGGACTTGAACTCAGCTTGGGTGCTGTCCCTGTGCTCTTCAGTTCAAGGTGAGCACTCTACCACATTTGAGCCACAGTGCCACAAATGGTTTTTC